AGGGGTTAATTGTAAATGATGGATGCTTTCGCCGTTGGAAAATATTTGTTAGGTTTCACGGGAAAATTTACCATGCTTTCTTTTTAGACAGTCCCTTGTGGCTGTCTCTACCCGAAGGTAAAAGTTGCCCGTTATGATGTAAAGATTGCCGTTCCAGTTTATGTAAAGATTGCCGTTCCAGTTTTGATATAAGATTAGCCGATTAATCGTTTGATAAAGATCTGTTTGCTGCCTCTCTATATTATACAGTACTATGCTGGGGGGAGGCTGTGGTCTTCCGCGCGCGGCGCTCCTTCCGCGCGCGGCGCTCCTTCCGCGCGCGCTGTTCAAGACTAGTGGCAGAAACCTGTCATCGCCCTGTATACACAGCGCCCTTAGCCCTTGTTCCACGCAAGGCCGCTCCTCGCGCCGAGCCATAATGGGCCAGCCGACCACTTGAGCCTCTCGCAGCGCTGCTCCTCCCGCGCCCCGCACCCCAACCCCTGCCCACTTAGAGCTCAATCGGCACCGGGCGCCACATGGCCCGTCCACTTGACAAGTGATCCCTAGTCTTAAATTTTAAATTTGAACCACAGCGCTCTGAAATATGAAATGTGCTTGTTTTCAGGCACCCAAAAATTACGAATCCAGCAAAATTTGAATGGCGATTCTAGCATAATTTGCTGATTTTCGTTTCGTTGTTTTTGATTTTAATCACAGCTTTCCGTAACAAGCGCTCCTGGGTAAGGTGAAAGTATCCCGTTTTGAAAAAGGTTGCCGTTGCCGGATATTGCCGATTAACGTTCCGGTTTTGATAAAGAAGATTTTCACTCTCGTTTTGATGCCTTATTGAATTTAAAGATACAAACCTTAGCGCCTGTATATTTTGAAGTTGCTTTTGGAGCTGGACTGTCTCGTTACCGGCCGGCAGGCCAGTTTTTTTTGTAAAATTACGATTCTAAATATGTAAGTTAAAACCATTATTTTGTCACTGCGCACCGAATGGGAATTTCGTAAAATTTACGATTGTTAAGTGAAATCGTTGTTGCATCATAAAATTACAAAAAAAAAACTAATTGACGGAAATTTATTTTTCATTGTGTTTTAAAACGCTAGACAAATTTATCACACTAATTGAAACCTGACATAGGGGAACACACGCAAGCTTCTGCCTCATAGACAGACACCGACCCATAAGTTTATGAATGTCGCACACTTGTAGGTATTCGTACACATGGAGTATGGAGTGTGTTAGTGTAAAATTCTATGTGTACTAGTGGGCGTTCACACACCTCCAGGTGAGCGACATTCACACACTATAGTGTGAACACGTTGGTGGGCAACCTCCTCACTCTACGCTTGTGGTCCTGTGTGCGCAGGTGTTCCTGCTCGTGGAGATCCCCCTGGCCGTCGTCACCATCTTGCACATCATCTCGTCCAGCGTCAAGGAGATCCTCAACTACACCATCGTCAACACGCTCATCCTGTTCACCAACTTCTTCATCATCGTCTCGTACCCGATCAACTTCGCCATCTACTGCGGCATGTCCCGCCAGTTCCGCGAGACTTTCCGCGAGCTCTTCCTCAACGGCAGCGGCGGGCCGTCCAAGACGCGTCGCGGCCAGCGCATCAACAGCCGGCCGACGGGCGGCGGCGCCGAGTCGTCGCACTACACCCTGGTCAACAACAACGGGCCGCAGCGCTCGTGCACCGAGACCGCCCTGTAAGCGGGCTGTAAGCGGGCCAGCACGACGACGACGGCAAGGTGAGCGGCCTCGGTGGCAGGGGTGATGGCGCTGATGGTCGAGGGGGGAACGACGGTGAGTGATATCGGATTACCCCTGTGTCACACTCTCGGATTATCCGGGGACTACACCCCCTAAGAGTACCCATGGAGGACCGATGGATTTATCTCGAGATTGACACAGGCTGTTGTCAATCGGATTCCTCATCAAGGCGCTCTTCCTCCCTCGACGATGTGGTATAGTGAGGTTGGTGGTTTGATGTGTTGCGGAGGGAAGTGGGAGCGGATACTGCTTTGCGGATTTTTGTATGTGATCGAAACGACATCGATCTGACCGATTGCTCCTTGCCGTTGCGTCTTTGCAAGCACGTCAGGTCGATGTCGTGTCAACACTGGGACCCGCAGTCTTCGCGCTAATATACTAATTGAAGATTAGTGGGCAGGATTTTTTGTTCAAACGAAATGAAAGCTTTCAGTGTTGTGTCATAAACTAAACAACTACTTCTGCAACATGTTTTATGATGAAATGTGGAATGTTCATGTTGTACTTTCACACACACGCCAGCAATTTTTCAACAGTTAATTTCCGTAATTATCGGTTGAAAACCCATAATACACAATACAGCAATACCGAAAGTAAAATGTAACAATATCGAAAAACATAGCTAGGCGTCGATCAGCAGATGTTAAGATATCTTCAGACGCAGTGCATCATTTTTTGGGCTGTTCGATGTCGGCGTTTTTTGAAATAGGGCTTAAAAGTTGCTTCATTGATTTTGCTGTTCACAAGAATTGTATTGAATGAACGTCTGTTGTTTTTGTTGTTGTTGTGCATAGTGACAAGTATTCAGAGGGAGCAATGGATGCTCTCTCTATGTCGTACGCCCGTTATGATGTAAAGATTGCCGTTCCTATTCAGAGGGAGCAATGGATGCTCTCTCTATGTCGTACTTGTTTTTTTGTGAACTACGTAAATTTTGTTTTGATAAAAAAAGAAAAAAGAGAAATACTTATCTGTCAACGTGTGTTTGATAACAGCAATGGTTCTGGTGAAAAGACAGACTCAGACATCATGGCGTACAGTAAAGTGAGAGGACAGACGAAAAAGACCGTGTCGTTTCTTTTAGTAGTCTTGTGTTTAGTGAAAATTCGTCCAAACTCTATTTTTCTAACATTCGCACTCCGAACCTATCTGTGCTTTTACTGTCCATGTTCGCGGCCTTCTGACTCTTTATCTACAAAATGTTATGCCACGTTAACGTTTCACACATTTCACGTTCAGTGCGGCTGCGCGTTTAGAGGGTTGGTACAGCCTGTAAAGCGCGTCCACATTGTGGTCGCATCGCACTGCAAGTGGTCTTTTGTTTGTACAAACTATCTGGTATACCATCATAAATGCTAGTCGTGTTACGTAACATAGGGTGGATTGCCATGGAAAAATGTAAGACTGTATATTAATGGAAACAATGGTGTAAAAACTTCCCGAACGGATTTAAAATGTAAATTCTTGACTAATTTTACGGTATGCATCTCTTCACGTGAACTAAACTCTTGCATATAAGTAAAAATTGTCGTCAAATAGGTGAACCGCAAACGCCTCTGTTATAACGTTTAAATATTTATACTTAACGTTTAAATGTTTATACTTAAGCTGCCTTTCTAGACCTCTTCTCATATATGTATTTGGAAAGTTAGGTCCTTGCACACATTTACTTTGTTGTTATTCGGTATAACAAGAGGTCGGGAAAGCTTAGCTTGGCATCTGGAGTTGTAAACATTCTTATTACTTCGGATATTTTGTGCTGATCATCTGTTTAGCTCAGTTTACTTTGTAAATACTCTGTACAGTCTATTACTTTTAGGTACGATACTAAGTGATCGTAACTGACTCCGTGGGTTTCACAGAAAGTCAAAATTGACTTCAGATCGTTCATTTTAGTGCGTTCTGCGTCGTGTAGACTTAACTATATTCCATGATATGTACTGATAAGCGGTCGTTCTGGTTTAGATTGCCAGTGCCGAGAAATGCTTGGCTCTTTGCTTTATGCGAATGATGTTCATATCACAATGTATGCGATATGCGAACCCCGGTACCCCGGAACTACACTGTGTGTCATTATAAAGAGAAACCCAATATTTGTTGTGTGATAACTATGCCAAATCTTTCAAAGATACTAACTTATTTGATTTGAAGCTACAAAAAATTATCAATGAGGTGTTCGAATAGTCATAGACATTCTTCCTGCGCTCCATTTGAATACCTCATAGAAAATATAATATTTATACATGTATTTACCCAATTTCAGAAGTAATATCATGGCTTTCGTCGAGCCAAAATTAGATTTATCGTAGGGGCCACACAGTTATTGAATTCATCTATTGTAAATATTGATTAAATGTTAAGAGAAGTAGACTTCAGCCTTAATGCGTGTACATAATTTTGTACATAGATAATAAAACTTGCTGATCTGTCAAGTGCTCGTCGTTGTAGCTTACGCCCTTCGCTGCACTATGCTTAAAGTGTGCGCGTTACTGGTGCTGAGCTAGCAGGCAAATGTATCGCGTTTTTATTTTTTGTTGGAGAGGCCTAGAGAAATGGTAGCCGTTTCCGTTGTTCAACAGTGGTGACAGTGGTACGCAAAAATATAATAAATTGGCCCGACTAGCCTACCGCTATGGTGCGCAAAATATTTCCCTTCCCTTGCCTAATGTGTGTTGGCATTTCGCTATATCTTTGCCGTGCACCTATTATTTACGTCTTCAGTAATTACTGTAAACGCCCTCTGCAAATGCAGGAGCGCTTTTTACTTGCTTTTGCATTTTGAATTTATAGGTAGATTTGTGATATTTCTTCTAAGCAGAGGTCTTAGGCACTTCTGTATTATTAAATTTAAGAATGAAAGGAAACTTATCTTCGTGTGCTAGGAATACGTTATTGTTCTTATTTTTAAAAAATGGGGGGGGGGGCGGTCCCTTTCTTCCTGTTTTTTCTTCCTACAAGCGAAATCGGTGGTACGTAACGGGTGGAGCTTGTTTGTCGTCTAAGAGAAATCTCTCACAATCGGCATCAAATCGCATCTATGTACGAGACTGAATTTTTGTTACTTGCAATCTTTCATTAAGGATGATTTAGGCATTAAAGCGTTTTGGGTTGAGAGAAGTGCAAGTGCAGTTATGGGTTGGGTTGGGCCGCAGACATTTTTGGGGGGTTACCTTGTGCATCAATTTGTGCGTACATATTATGTTCAAGAAAATGTCTTACAGAATTATGTGGTGCCAACACTTGTTTATGTGAACGCGTACGCTACGTTTAATTTAAGAAGGGACAAGGGGGTCAAAAATAGGCTCATGATGCTTGCAGTGGGGGGGGGGCAGTTCAATCTGAAGAACTGTTGATTAGCTTTAGTAAGTCAACCAACAGATGGTGACAAACTAGAAATGCCCCTCTGATTCTTATTAGACTTTGTGAAGTTTCCGTTTAAAGTTTGACGCTCTTTGAGTTTTGCACCACTGAGCTTTCTTTGTCAAACCCACAATGTTGCATTTTCTTCTTTTGTGTCAAAAAGTTGGACTTTTTAACAGTGTTTGTATCGTCACATTAGTCTGGAATGATATTTGTATTGTAACTCCAAACAAATTTGAGACAAGGACTTTAAAGTCACTTCGTCAATTTTTCTTTTCGGGTCTTCTTTCCTTTTATTAATCAAAACTATTAGGTGACTTATTGGATTGAATTATTTTGCTCACCCTGGAATCTTCCAGGATTGGTGACCGATAAAGTCACTCATTACCAATTAGCCAATTACCAAATAAAATTACAGCTTCTGTATTGAGTGTTAAATGATTTAGTATTTACTACAGAAAGTTAATCAAAGTCGACCACGACGCAATCCAATCCCCGAAAATGTTCTAGTCAGCCCGTTCTGGACTCCTTGTTAGGTCTCGACAGAGACAATTAGCTATGTCGTTCTTATAAATTAGTTGTAAGCAGATTTTTCTCTCCTGTTATCTTTTGCAGTTGACACTATCTACAGTTAAGATGAGACCTGTTAGAGAATATTTCCCTCTAAATTTCGGGAGTGCAGTTGTAAAAGCAAGGCTGGACTTAAACGAATAACACACACTAACGGAAAATCAATTTTTTTTTTAAAATTAGCCGTGTGAGCTAATATTCTTACGTAAGGCCATGTGAGCTAATGTGCAAGCTATTTTAGCGAATTCTTTCTTCGCGCAGCGTTTTCTATTAGGCATTTCAGGCAGCTGTTTTGCTCCAAATGTAGTAGTAATTGACTTTTAGCCACTGAAATAACAAAAAAATAAATAGCCCGGTTTAAAATTTATTTTCATAGATAGGTGTCGACTGCAAAAAAATATATATATTTACAGAAAATCTATTGGTGTTCCTCTTTATAAGTTCTACGAAATTACGTGTGTTTTCTTAGTCGATCGGCTAAAATAGGTGAAGTTTTCTGAAAACTTCCAAGTGTATACTTCACGTTAACAAACGATATGGTGGTTGTGATGTAAAAATGTCGAGGTGAAAGGTTACAATGTGTGATATGTCGAGGGTTCTGGTAAGGGTGGTTGTGGTGAAGGTGATTGTGGTGGTGTCGGTGCTGCCTGTGGTGACAGCAATGCACACGTCAAAAGCAGAGGATAAAATGAAAAAGGTACTTGATATTTTACGACGTTGTTTGGCCTTGGGCGGGCTCGTTTTGTTCGTGTGCACACTGATATCACGGGGTATACGACTGGCAAACTTTGTTGAGACTGTGTATATCGTGAAAAAATAGAGGCGGATAATAAATTAAATTTCTCCTGTCCTGCATCATTCGCTCTCGTGTTTACAACCTCCTGTCCATTATTGCGCCATCCCCATAACAACAAGGAGTGCCACCGCCGAGCCCCGCCGCCCCCTCCCCCGGGCCCTGGCCGCCTCTCCATGACCTCCATGACCTCTCCATGACCTCCAGGGGAGCACCGTGGCGAGGCGGCGGTGGACCGTCCCATGACCTCACCTCCGCATGACCTCCGCATGACCGGCGGATAACCACCAGCATGGTGAGCAAAGTTGTGGTCGCGGCGAGCAGAACACTCTCGACATACGAAATGTACACAGACAACACTAGACAGCTCCCGTTAAGAAATTCGACGTTGACCACCGAAACTGTGTCGATTTCGTCGTCAAAATAAAGGCGCAATTCGACGTCGAATCGACTTTGGTGGATTTTTTTTGTTGGGACTTCCCCTCGACCTTATTGTGGGGCGCGGACACCTCGCCCCGCACACCTCCACCCGGGTGGAAGTATCACCACTCCGACTGCAGTAAAAAATCTGCGCTGCGCGAACTGCGGCGGCATGAACTGCAGTTTAACTGCAACGAAACTATCGTGCTCAACCCGCGAATTGTCTGAACAGGAGGAGCTGAGCGCCGAGCTCGGGCGCGTGGACGCGAACGCGCACCAGGCGCCCGTCGACATCTCGCTGGCGGACACCTTCCCCCTGGCGGTGTCCAACCTGGAGTACCAAAATTACGGCAACACCCCCGTGAAAATGAAGCTTAACAACACGGGGTACACGGGTAAGGACGGGGCCGGGTAGTTCATGGGAACCCGTGATGTTTGCACTCCGGGGTACAAATATCATGCGCCTCCCATCGACTCCAACGACCGGACTGATGATTTAGGGACACCATCATATTTGGACATCCCCCGCCTCCCTCTCAAACGTTGAGTCCCGCATGACCACACGTATAGCCATAATAGCATTGGTTCGAGCACAGCCCCTAAAAAGAGGGGGAGGGGGTAGAAAGAACAACCGTCTGCAGTGTAAGTCTCCTGCAAAACAGTAACGGTGAGCGGCAAGTTCGACGGCGACCCCCCGACCCTGCGTGGGGGTCCCTTGGACGGGACGTACAAGTTCTCCCAGCTGCACTTCCACTGGGGCCCCAGCGACAGCGAGGGCAGCGAGCACACCTTCGAGGGCCGAGGGTAAGCTCTCCACACCTCTCCACACCTGGGAGGGGACGGTGACGGTACCTGTTCGGGGTCATTCAAATACTTTGTGACTTTTGGGGGGGTACAAATAACATGGGGTCCCAAAAGGATCAGAAACATAACTGGAGGCCATAGAGCTCCCATGATATTTGTACCCCGGGGTAAAAATATCATGGGTTCCGACGGGCATTGTCTTGATTCTTTTGGGACCCCATAATATTTTTACCCCACTTAAAGTCACGTGGTATTGGCACGACCCTTTACACGCCTGCAGCTGCCCGCTGGAGATGCACATGGTGCACGTGAACCAGAAGTACGGCACGCAGGAGGAGGCGCTGCTGCAGAAGGATGGCGTGGTCATCGTCGCCTTCCTGTTCATCGTGAGTGCGCGTTAGTGCGGGGAGGGAGGGAGGGAGGGAGGGAGGGAGGGACGGTGAGTTCGACAGACACGCCGACCTTCCTGCTGAACACACCTCCGTGCCGGCAGAGTGGCGCCAAGCACGGAGGCCTGGACGGCGTCTGCCGCGGGCTGGTCGAGGTCACCAAGCCCCACACCTCGTTCAAGATCTCGCCGCAGTCGCTGCAGAGCCTCTGCCAGCCCTTCCAGCGGGACTACTTCTCGTACTGGGGCTCCGTCATCAGCCCGTCCTGCTCGCATCTCATCCAGTGGCTCGTAAGCAGGGACCCGCTGGAGGCCTCGCCCGAGCAGGTACCATCAGCATCATCGAAACGAGAGGACGGAAAGGGTTAACATTGTGGTTCGGCGATTCCAACGCATTTCCGCTGCTTCCGGGTGCAGTTCGCCGCCTTCCGGCAGCTGCTCAACGTGAACGAGGAGCCGCTGCTGCGCAACTACCGCGACGGCCAGGCGCTGGGCGGGCGCACCGTGTTCCACCTGGCGCCGGGCAGCCGCGACGGCTTCACGCTCAACTGCAGCCCGGAGCGGACGGCGGCCGGCGACAAGGCCGGGGGCACCGTGGCGCCGGGCGCGGACACGAGCGTGCTCAGCGTCGAGCAGCCGTGCACCAGCCTGGGCGAGGCGGAGAGCAAGGGCGTCGTCAACCTTGGCGGGTACGGCGGTAGCGGCGCGCGCGGCCGGTACCCGGGAGGGGGCACCTGGCCGACGACGTGACGTGTGTTGTCCCTTGTCCGCCCGCAGGGAGGTCCAGGTGACGGAGTCGGGGCGCGAGGTTGTCCGCACGCCCTCGGGCCGCCTCCTGGAGAAAACACAGTCCGGCCGGCTCGTGGAGAAGACGGCCTCGGGCCGCCTGCTGGAGAGGACGCCTTCGGGCCACATGGTGGAGAGGACTCCCTCGGGCCACCTGCTGGAGAAGACCGAGTCCGGCCGGCTCGTGGAGAGGACGCCGTCGGGTCACCGGCTGGAGAGGACGCCCTCTGGCCGCCTCGTGGAGAGGACGCCCTCGGGCCGACTTCTGGAGAGGACAGAGTCCGGCCGGCTCATGGAGAAGACGCCCTCCGGCAACCTGCTGGAGACGTCGCGCCAGCTGCCGCCCGCCATCGAGCTGACGCCCTCCGGACACGAGATGACGAGGACGCCCTCGGGACGCCTCATCCAAATGACGGCGTCGGGCCACGAGCTGGAGCGGACACCGTCGGGACGCCTCATCCAGAGGACGGCGTCGGGCCACGAGCTGGAGCGGACGCCGTCTGGACGCCTCATCCAGAAGACGGCGTCGGGCCGCGTGCTGGAGCGGACGCCCTCGGGAAGGCTGGTGGAGGTCACCGCATCGGGGCAAGAGCTGGACACGTCGGAGCAGCCCATCCTGGACAAGCCTCTGGAGGATGAAGTCCTCGGTGAGCAGCTGTTGTCGGTGTCGGGGGGCTCGGCGGACGGCGGGGCGGGGGCGTCTGGGCCAGGTGCGGCCTCGGCAGCGCCCGACGCGGGCTCGGCCGGCCGTCCCGTGGAGAGGACACCGTCGGGCCGCCTGCCAGGGATGGGCTCCAGGGTCGTCAGCTTCTCCCAGCTCACGGGGCCCATAAAGGCGCGCTCAGGTGAGGCCTCGTCGTCCTGTCACCGTGACAGGTTGTCGTGAGACGGCGTGTTCTCGACCGCCCCCCACCCTCCACCCTCCACAGACGACGAGTGGCCCGCGGCACCCTTCACGGGAGGCGCGGCCGCCTCCCCGGTGTTCATCGACACGACCCAGGCCGCGCGCATGCCGTGCCCGCCGCTCGAGTTCCTGGGCCACTTCCAGACGGGCGTCGGGCTGGTGCTCACCAACAGCGGGGAGACAGGTCCGAGGACGCCCTCGCCGTCACCGTCACACCGTCCCGTCGCACCTCCAGCGTGACGACGCCCTGTGACACACACTCTCTTGCCCGCAGTGGAGATCAGCCTGCTCAAGGCTAAGGACCGCCCGGTGCTACAGGGCGGCCCCCTCAAGGGGCGCTACATCCTCGACTCGGCCCACTTCCACTGGCTGCCCAACGAGGACGCGGCGGCCGGCACGCACACCATCAACAACTCGAGGTGCGGGGAAGGCTGGGGGAGCGGGAGGCCCAATTTGGTAAAGCACGACAACCAGACAGGTGGAAAGAGGGGACAAGGGGCGTGGGCGCGGGAGGAGCGGCTGGAGCGGCTGGCAGCGCGGGGCGCCTGAGAGGTGGGCCGACCCGTGGCGCACGCGGGCACGGCGGGCCAGCCTATCGCCGACTCTGTAGGCGTTCGGCAGGACTCCGCCCCACTGGGCACGAGGAAGTGGGGGGGGGGGGCATACTCGGGTCTTGCGATGCAGCGTAGCCTGGGCCTGAGGTCCTGCAGGGGCCCAGCTGGCTGCAGCAGACTGCGAGGCTGGTTAATAGAGGGGGGGGAGGGGGGAATGCGGGGGATGCGTGTGGGAGCGAGGCAGGCGGAACGAGGCAATCGGTCCTGATCCTCAGGGCGGAGATTGAGTGCCACCTGGTGCACATCCACGAGGACTACAAGAGCAAGACGGAGGCCATGGACCACCCCAACGGGCTGTGCGTGGTGAGCGTGCTGCACCAGGTGGGCGGCGCCGAGTGCGAGGTGTTCCGGCGCCTGTGCCAGGAGCTGCCGCGCATCCAGGAGCTCTACACGCAAGTCGAGATGCCCGGCCTCGACCTGTCGTACATGGCCCGGGTGGTCAAGCCGCACGAGTACTTCATGTACCCGGGCCGCTTCTTTGGCCGCGATGACGGCCAGGCCCTGGTGTGGATCGTGTTCGCCCAGCCCATCGGCATCTGCTGCCAGAACGTGAGTGGCAAAGAGGGTGTAGTCTGTAATTTTCGTTTTAAAAAACCCATTTTACAAAAAATGCTACTTTTTTAATTTTTGAGAGTTTTTTAAAAATTGTTTTTCTTATGTTTTTCCCGTAAAGTTTGTGTTGCTATAGCTTGTTGGCAAGCCTGACGGGCAGCTTCTCGTCCTGCAGGTGGCCGCCTTCAGGAGCCTTCGGTTGTCCTTGGACTTCCGGCAGCACGACACGTACCCGCTCGGCGAGCGGCCCCTGTACGCCGTGATCGCGGAAGGGGCCGCCGACGGCGGGGGCCCCGGCGGCGTGGGCGTGGACGGCGGCGGCGTGGGCGACCGCCCGGGCGCCGACGGCGTGCCCGACGAGCTGGAGGTCGGCGCGCTGCGGCGCACGGCGTCCGGACGCGTCCAAGGGATCGCGCCCGACGAGTGGCCCAACGCGCCCTTCGTCTCCAAGCACGAGTTCCTCATGGCGCCGCTCGACATCCAGTCGTCCAAGGTGCCCAGCATCCCCATGCCGCCGCTGGAGTACCGCGGCCACTTCCCGAGCGGCGCCGTCCCCGTCGAGATGCGGAACACTGGCGAGGCGGGTGAGAGACTGTCTCTACCAGAAGGCTACCGAAGGGCGCTTCGGTGTGGCTGGCGCTCGTGGGCAGAGCAAAATGGTCTGGGGCCGGGACTGTTCAGTTCTGGAGTAGACGATTCACTGGCGGGCTGCTCTCTCTCCTCCGCAGTGGACGTGATCTGGAAGACCAGCGCCGTGCCCACCCTGGTGGGCGGGCCCCTCACCGACGAGTACGTGTTCGACTCGGCGCACTTCCACTGGGCCCAGAACCCAGAGGACGTGGGCGCCATGCACCGGATCAACGGAAAGAGGTAACGTTATTACAATCGCTTAATACAAGTATCGATCCGAAAAGAAACATGGGGGGGGGG